TCATTATCCTCTGTCAATATTCTATTAGCTTTTTTCTCTTCATCAGGCTTATCTGATTCTTTATAATAATTATCAGCTACATTTTAACTTATTTGTGATTCATCCCTAATATACATAAAATTTGCTAGCTCGAAAACATCAATTCCTAACAAATCTCTAGCAAATTCATTTACTTTTTTTGTTTTAAGGCATTTTGATAACCTAGGATTATATATTGATATATCTGATTAATTTAAATTAATTTCATCAGAATCAACTGGTTTTGTTAAATTAGAATCTTTAGAAACTTTTCAGATTCTTTAATAATATTACAATGCATAGCCAAAAGCTTAGAATGAATTAACTTAGATGATACTACTGACTCAGATAGTTGTTTTTTAGTTAATAAATATGCATCAACATAATTAATATCTTTTGCATAAATATACAATTTATCTTGAATAATTTTCATTTTACTAATGACGAATAACATAGATTTTTTTAGTCAAATAGAATTCTTAAAATGTTTAAATTATGAATTAAAGTGTGGATAAATAATATTAACTACAAAATTATGCTTCTAAGTGGTATAATCATTAACTAAAGTTTTAATAACAGTATTTTTATCATTATTAACTTTCTGAGGTTCACTCTGGACAACACCAACAAGAGACACTTTTAATGAGTAATTATTTGTATTAAATTTCTTATTAATATTAACATATGTTGAAGTTGCAACTAGCATCTAAATAAATAAATATAAGTATATAATTATTGTATATTTCTACTATAAAAAAATTTATAATAATATCTTTAGCCTTTTAATATTACAAAAATATTCAAGTACAACCTTTTCACTAAAAATATAATATTTATTTTTTTTAAAGATTGCCTGACTATCAGGAACTCTTTCTTCTAAATCGATAGATACAAATATAACTAATTCAATATCATTATCTTTCTGTTTAACAGAATAGGTGCTGATAGCCCATATAATAATAGAATTGATATTGTCACTCATAGATTACTGAACTTGGCTAATTTTTATGATAGTATTTCTATAATACGGTATCTTTTTGCAACAATAAGTTTTGTAAAAACAAATATCAATGTTTAAAACAACTTCTCAAAAAACTCATCTATTTATTTATTTTTTCAATATTTATTATTAAAAAGTTATCTGTTTAAAAGCCATACCTTTATTATTATACTTGTATTTGTGGCTAATAACAATAAAATCAATTCAAATTTATAATATGTATTAATATTCAATTATTATTAAAAATTGTATTTAAAATAACTGATTTTTATAGTATATAAGCTGAAAACATGTCTGCTTTCCTACTCTTACTAATCTTAAAAAGCTAGATATTATCTAATTATATATATGTAAATATATCTATTTAATTTTATATAAATTTAAATTGTTAATATACAAATATCTTTTTTTTATAAACTTCAAAATTCATTAATTAAAAAAAGATCTATATGTTGCAGAAATATAAACTGACTTTAATATAACTAAATACAGTCGAACCTCTATAATTGCACCCTCTATAATTGCATCTATATATAAATTCTCTCTAAATAGACGCCCTGGCATGGTTCCAAATATATAAAAACATAGTAAAAATACCCTTTATAAATGCACATCCTCTCTAAATAAACATTTTTAAAAAATTTGTCCTATGGTCCTGAGGGGAGTGCAATTATAGAGGTTCGACTATAATGCAATATACTACTTAATACTATCAAAATACTATCTAATGAGACCAAAAATATTGAATTAGTAGCCTTCGATTGAAGCATGATAAAACTTGGTCTAAATTTGAAAATTTTTGGTCTTATAAAGTTATTTCTAAACTTCAATAAGTATCATTATCTTCATTATAAATTTCTTGTATTTAGTATACTACTAATAACTCTTATTTATTCTTTTTTTAGATAATGTAGCAGTATTTAAAAATCTCCTTCCGATTATAAATTAAGTTTATAATATATTATATGATTATGAGATCACAATATGAATCATTTACATAAATATATATATTTTTATAAATAATAGATTGAATAATTACAAACTTAATCATTTAATTATTTTATATAAAAAGAGTCTTAGTAACTAATACAATCTTTTTCTTTCTTTTGATTATAATCTAACAATATCAAATTATGATAGATTATAAGGACATTAAAGATTTTACAAATAAAATATTTTATACAAAAGCTGCTACTACTTGAATAATTCTATTATTTATTTTTCAAAATTAAAGCTCTAAAAGTTAACTTTTTATTTAAAGTAATTTTTACTGCTTATATACATCATTTTTACAAAATAAAAATCAATATTATTTTTCTTATTAATGCTATTTTCTTTATTTATTCTATTAACTAAATAATAATTTTTGAAGGGTGTGGTGACTTAGTGAAGTTGGTAAGTTGTCGCATCTCCAAGCAGTAAGACAAAAGTTTGAATCTTACTAGTGACAAAATTTAAATTTATAAAATGTGTTATAGCAGACTTTATGACATATCAATTGGGTCAGCACCTGTAATCTTGGTCTTATTAACTCATATTGAGAGGTTGTGAAATATAGTATGATATATAAGTTAAATAAATCCTAAATAAAGCAGCCAAATTAATCTAAGGAATTAAAAGATACAGAAGCTTGCTTGGGAAGTTTTGAGTAGAGAGATAGCACAGATCTTTGATGACACTACATATAGAATTATTATTAAGAGAACTGAACATCAAAAGTAAACTGAATGAGAACTAAGTGTTTGGCAAAAGCACTACACCAACTAGGCTGCTGGACAACTAGAGAAAAATGAATTTATTTAAAATATCAGAATGCTCACTGGTTTCTCTTGTGCTATCTGAATTGAGAGTTTGGAGCACCAACAGCTGGTATTGAAATACTGTTAATAGTCTGTAAAGTAGATGCTGGAGTTTGTGAGAACTTTGCAAGGGCAAGAAATAAGTAACAGTAGCAGAGGTAAAATACCACAAGTACTTGGTCATGGTTTAGATATAAGTTATCAAAAATCTAGGTGATATATATGTAGGACATGAACTGCTCTAGTAGGCTTATCACAAGAATAAAGTAGTCCTAAGAGCCTTAGCAGCAGTTTCTCTTTGGAAAGAATATTTTATAGTACTAAGTTGATTAAAGAGTTTAAATAAGAGATTCACAGGCAGATCTTAGATATAGCAAGTAGTGGTTAACTATAGATAGTAATATGTATAGCAGAGGCCTTAAATAGGCAATGACTAAAGTTGTATGTATACCCAATTATACTCTTATTAATATAACAAATTCAGGAATAGCCTATGTGGTTGTTCTGGCATTTAAACCAAAGTTCAATAAAATGTACTAAACCCCAAAGTGGTTATCTTAACATTAAAAAAAAATTCAATAATTTTTAATTCTATTTGTTTGATAAACTATTTTATTGATTTTTTCAAAAAATAAAAATTGAAAATAACAAAAATCAAATAAATCAAACTTTTATACTATATTAGTTAATAATATATCAGAAAAAAATTTTTGACCATGCAGTATATATACTCGACCAACTGCTGGAGAATTATCTAATACCCTGAGTCAGTTTTTAATGATTTGAAAAATAAACCAACTGAATTATACAAACAAATTGAAGAAATCAAAACTTAGACAAAAATTCCTTATCACATGGTCAAGTCAAACCAACATTGCTCAAATATCCGACACATCCACAAGCTACTTATACAAGTCGATTATTGAATCTTTCAAAACTCCCTAAACCAGGTAATAACATTTATTTTTATATTTTTAAAGGTTAATAATATTAATAACTATAAAAATTTCCGAATATATATGATAAATGCAGGTAATGATATTTATTTTCTTAAATTGGATTTAATCTGTAATTTCAGTATATTTATATATAGTAAATCCATTGAAAACTTTGATGTTCCCGACGGTAAGTAATATTTGATTTACTATAATTAAACAAATTTATTGCTTATTTTTTTTATTGGTATTTAGATTATTAAATCAATTAAAGGGAAGTTATTAAAGTCGGAGTATTCTATTTATTTCATACTGCAATAATTCAATGATTGTAATATATATTCATGTATACATACCTAAAGAGATAACAATTTCGCTAACAACATTTTGCAGACAAGGTTGATCGATTTAAGTTAGGATTGGCCTGAATTATAGTTTAGTGCTGGCTAAATGTAGATTGTTGGCGAAGTGGTGGTTAGCAAGTTCTACTAAAGATGTTATATAATAAAAATTACTAAATTTAAATACTGTATACTGTATAAACTTATTAAACGAATATTGAAATAATAAATATTAAAATTACCTTTATTACTGTTGTTGGTAGTACCCTTGTTATTTTAATGATATATGGATATATTTTATAAATTTTTTAAAGAAAACTATAATCAAATTTTAAATAAATAATAATAATGATTTTTAAAATTGAATTAAAAAAGAATTTTTAATTTTTCTAATGAATATATATTTATTAGATTTGAATAGATATTTGATTTTTTAAATTTTTTTTTGAGTGGGAAAATAATTTTTTCGCCCTCTTAACCAGATTGACAAATTAAAATACAAGATCAGACGTAACGTGAAATCGAAGTCATCTCACGTTCTAATTAAAAAATTGCTTGCAAAATTTTAAATTAAAAACTTCTTTTCATAAAGCCACGTCTAACTCTAGTCTAATGCTAACCAAAACCTTAAACTAACGTATTATTATTTATTGTTTTGATTTCACGTTATACATGATCTTATACATCGCATAAGCGAAAAAATCTACAATCCTTTTCAATATTCGAAAATGTATTCAAATTTTGTGCAAATTAAGGTTTGGAATCGGTTTATTTTTCTTATGACAAAACCGAATAAACCGGGTTTAATATAAGAAAAATAAAGCCGGTTCTAAACTCTAGTGTAAATTATTAAATAAAATTCTTGAATCATTTAATTAAATGACGATGACAAAAAAAATTCTCTTTTTCAAAAGAGCACTTCGTTGACATTCAAGATTGTAAGAAGTTCTTGATTTTCTTGTAAAAGCTTTTTCATAGGTAAAACTGTGGAACTTTCATTACCATACCCAGATACAAGTATACCGATAAGAAAAACAGTGGGAAGCGTATCAAGATTAAATACGAACACAGGTGAACCACAATCACCAGGCTCAGATATGATACTTGTTTCGATAGTGTTCGTATGTGTAATTGTGGAACCATTCCTGCGTGAGCTAGACACCGCATCGACTTCTAATAT